TTGCACTTAGTTGTTATGTTAAGTAAGGAAGAGTAGCTGGCTCTCAGTCAGGACGTTTACTGGTACTTGCTTTCCATGTTGTACTGGGCCATGCTGTCTTGGCTATCCACTTCAGTACAGGCAAGGCATCTCCTTACCTCTTACAGAATAACTTTAGAAGCAACTAGACATTTGGAAAAAGTAACAACAGTCTGGATGTGAAATCTACCAGGGGAAAGATAATCTGAACAATTTATTGATAGTTTAAACGTGAAAACAAGTGGTATTAAAGTGTTCAACTGCACCACAACATGCAAGAAGTGATAATATCTCCCTGGAAATCAATTACCACATGACTTTCTTGTGGCCACCAAGGTAGGGAGAACTGGGAACATAAAAACCAAAGGAAACTTCGAGTTAACAGATGGGTCATAAATACCAAGTGTATTCCCTCAGTGGAGGCATGTGGTCTCCTGCAAGATGATCTATGCCACAGACCCTCAGGCACATGGCTTCCACATGTCAAATATGTTACGAGATGGCTTTATTCCGCTTAACCCAGACTCGGCATCCAGCCTCACTCCTGAAGGGTAACAGTTTGATGAATGATGTTGCCTTCATTATTTCATATAATGCATTTGAGTTGTATGTTTTCATCTTAAATGAGTCCACAAAGACAGTGGTTTAAGTCATTTTGTTGACCTGCAGTTGAATGATACGTCATTTGAGTCAACAAACACACACACACAAACAGATAAGAAACAGTGAATAAGAAACCTGAAAATCCACAGCCAGCACAACCATCAACAAAGAAAGAACCCGAGCAGCAGCTCATCTGGCATTAAGTGAGCCAAGTTTTCTTAGAGATGAACAACTATTTTTCAACTCGACCGCTATAGAAAGAAACATCCTGACGTTGTGGTTTTAAGTGGCCAAATCAGATGAAGTCCAAAGAGGAGATGATGGGAGGTGCAACCTTGTAGAATATTGGCCTTCTTAAGTGTTCATTCAAGAATCTCTCTTGGGCTCACTGCGATGGCCAATGAATTTGGGAGAATGTAGTGTGAGGATGCTATAAGACTGAATTTAAACACGGTATAATTTTTCAGTTATGGGGAGCCGTTGATCTGTGTCATGGTCTGGAATAATGGATTACAACTAGAAGTCAAAGAATTCACTTTAGAAATCCACAAACATTGGGTTTAATTCCTCATGAAACCAGGAACCATTTTAGACATAGGAGATGATACATTTGTCAAAAATGTCATCAGTTTAGCAAGACCGCCCAAGTCTGGATTTGCTGTTATTATCTATAGCTACTAATTCATTTGATTTTGTTGTCTTCTAACTTTTGTTAACAGATGAGCAAGTGGCAGTAGTCTACATAGGCATGAACATTATTTATGGGAGAAAAATCTTAAAATTCAGAAAACATTTCAATTCATCTAGTTTTTTCCCCCAGACCCTTGGGGGAAAAAACTTGTCAAAATCTGAGCACTTGAGCATGATAACCCATCTCCTTGGGAAATGCTTCAGCAGGCGTACCTTTTTGAAAATCACCGTTTTAGCCAGTAGAAAAAAGCAATGTCAAGGCATCAGAAGTATGGGGCTCACTTTTGTTCTTTACCAAAGTCAACACTTGCTTAGCTCACTTCAAAAGTTACTGAGTCTTCAATTTGTCATGTTGACTCAAAAGCTAGCAAATTCTTGTCATTATTAAATGGCTGAATTAATAGAATACATTGCTTTAATCTAGAAATTTAAAACCTTTTGAACTACTGCTGCAATGTAAAGTAAATGAGTAAAAACTGCTGTCATTCTCCCCATGCCTGTTAGCAATATCTATAACTCAGGCAAGAAGAGGCATATTGAAAATGTCAACACGTACAGGGTAATGCAGTGGATTCAGGTAGATCCCAAAGATCGCTCAGTGGGACAAGCAGAAGAAGTAGAGGAGCAGAGAACACTGAGAGGAGAGGGCAGGAGAGAACAAAACTTAACAGGAGATCCTGAGTTTTAGGAAGAGATAATGGTAAGTTAGAAAAAAATTTTTTAAAATTTTTATTGAAGTATAGTTGACTTACAATATTATAACAGTTTCAGCTGCAATCACAGTGATTTGATATTTTTATTAGTTAGCACCATATGAAGTTATCGTATTGACTGTATTCCCTGTGCTGTACATTACAGCCCTGTGGCCTAGGATGCTATACAACTGGCAGTTTGTACCTCTTCAGCCCCTGCACCTGTTTTGCCCGTCCCCTACCCCTCTCCCCTCGAGCAATCACGAGTTTTAGATTCCACATATAAGTAAAAAGACAGTGTTTGTCTTTCTCTGCCTGACTTATTTCACTTAGCAGAACACCCCCCAGGTCTATCCATGTCACAAATGGTAAGTTTCCATTCTTTCCTATGGCTGGATAATATTCCTCTGTGTGTGTGTGTGTGTGTGTGTGTGTGTGTGTGTGTGTGTTTTCTTTTTTTTTTTCTCTGTGTCGACTACGTTGTTTCTTTTTTTTCG